CCACATCAAAAGTTTGTTATTGGAAACAAAACACATATCAGATACTACCATCATTTTATACCAATATAGAATTATTGAAAACAATAATTTATTTCTACTTGCTCCCATATGTGTTCTTTAAGATTACTAGACACATTTATCCAATCAAAATAACTGATTGGCATTGTACTCCTAGTAACAAATCCGATAAAATGTGCAAATTTGGATCTATTAAGGTCAATCGATTACCCTTTTGAATTCCATCCAATCTATATGCAGTTATAAGCAATGAGACATACAAGTGTTAATAATATTAGCATAAAAGATATGCACACTGACTGATTAGAGGTTTTAAATTACTTATAGCTTTTGTCCTAATTTCCTTGATTTGCTAATGGACTTCAGTTTAGTAATTTCTTGAGTCTTCTTCTTTTTCAATTCAGCAGAGTGATGAGGGAACCTCCTTCCATGTTATTTGAAGAAGTAATCTCTGCAAGAATAAACATACATGTTAACATTAAATAATTACATTCAAGTAAAGTAAAATCATAAAAACATAATATAATCAATTCAAAATTACTAATAGATGCACCTTTTTCTTTTTTTAGGAGTCTTACTAAGTTTCCTATGACCTTTTATGAAATGAAATGATGGATTTAACCAAATACCCTGTTCATGATCATGTCTTGCATAAAAATCCTTGTCATTTATCAATGTATCTACAATTGACATATGTTCAACACTTCTCTAAGGATCGTCCTCCATATTAATTTCTTCTTCCGTGAATTTTCCATCAGTGAAAGAATTTACTAAATTTCTTTGAGTAATAGACACTTGATTGCATGTTAATTGATGTACTTCTACCTTCTATCTCACCGTACTTTGTCCAATAAGTATATTTTTCATCTATTGCATTACACATTAGATGTTCTTCCAATTCTTCTGCATTTACTTACAGCATATTCAAACAACACCAACAAGGATAAGGAATAAGGTTGACATCAGTTGCATGCTCAATCGCAAAACTAATAAACTCATTCACTTCGTCTTCATATTCTTCACTTAAACGATCAACTATCATTCAACTTCGATCCATATTTGCTCCAACTACGGTTACGATAATTACAAATGTGAATGTCTTATTAACTCTCATATGGTAGGGCCATATCCCATTTGAGAACAAACTTTTTTATACCTTAATTAACAATTGTTGCTTAAATATTGTGTTTTTTACTTGACAAAATTTTGGCAACATTTTGCATTAGTCTCCTAGTACACAACTTGAATATGAGATTATTTATCTCAATCAAGCATGCACCAAGAGACAATAAGAAATGCTCCAAACTCAAATTTTGTCAAGTATTAAATATAACATTATGAGAAACAAATGCTAACCAATAAATGAATATCTTTGTTCACAAATTGTACAACTTGGACAATTTAAGATTGAAAATAATGATTAATAAATTATTATTTTTAATCTCAAACGAGAAACTAAGGCTTTACTTAATTTTAGATTTCAAATCATATCCTACAAAGTTTAATCACTAATAATAATCATGCATTCATAACATTCCATAAGGAAGAACATCAATTTCATTCATACACAGAGCAAATTTACATAATGGGGACAAAAAACACAACAATATCATGTTTAATAGATAAACTTCAATTCTCAAAACAGCATAAGAGTATGTTCCTTTTCTATTTATATTGGAACAACAACAAAAACACAACAAAATATGTTTTCAATGCACAACTTCAATTTCCACAACAATCAAAATGCATTTTCACATTAATCACCTGTATTACATTCAACTAGTGTCCTAATATCATGTTTAGCAAATCCTAAATAACCATTCTAAAAATATCACAGGTTGTATTTTCACATTAATTTCTTGCATTACAGTCAACTAGTATCCTAATATCATGTTCAACAAATCCTAGATAACTATTTCAACAATATATCAGAGGTTAACTAACTTAAAGTTCAACCTTTTGAAATCAACTTTTACTAAATAAAAACTAATTTCATACTCTCTATCACGCAGCAATGGTCAATATTTGAATAGAAGCAACGTAGTTTCACTAATTTGTTGCAGTTCACCTGAAGCCAATGATGGAGGTGGAACGTTTGTAACTATTCAACGTAAAAAACACAAATGCATATAAGTGAACAAACACAAAGTTGGAGCGTGAATGTCCAAACATAGCCAGAAAATAAAAAAGAATCATGAATATACCTTAAAATTGTGAATGCAATGTCAACAATGCTTGTTCTTTTACCAAAATTTCTCATAAAACACTGAACAGAGACAAATTTAGAGGTATAGACTGGGCACAGGGACAGGGATAACCAGATCTAGGGCTTAAGGTTTAATTTGAAATACTTTTGAGAGCAGTTAAGTAATAATGCTCTCTAATCTATACCTTTCAAAGCGATTTCATGTGTCAATTGCTTTGTAAAGTTCTAAGAGCGGTTCCACGTATGAGCCGCTTTCTAAAATATAGCATTTCTAAGGCAATTATTTAACAATCACTCTCCAAAGTACACTTACGAGAGTGGTTCTAGATGAACCTCTCTCAAAAGTGTATATTAAAAAGTGATTCTTATAGAACCGCTCTAATAAGGCTACATTGGATATTAGTTCAACACTAACTGCTCTCTTAGTGTCTTATATAAAGTGATTTTTACTAACTGCTATCCAAAGTTGTGCTCCAAAAATCTATTTTTGGCGTAATGTAAAACTTATAATTAAAATTTTAAGCTTGTTTAGGATATAAAAAATTATCCTTTTATGATTTTGGTTTTAATTTTTTGTTATACTTTCAAAATTTAAAATCTATTACACATAAATTACTTATGATTATATTTATAAAAGATAAAGTGACTAACAATAGTAGCAACAAAAATAATAGTTGATAGTTAAAATGATAGTTGTACTATATGGCCATGGGAGTAACAATTCAATAGTGATGATGAATAGTCATAATAGCAACGATAATTATGATAGTGATTATAAAAATGATAATGATAAATGTAAATAGTTAAAGTGGTTAAGAGAAAAAATATAAAAGTAATGACTAACAATGTTTATTAAGGGTAATTGACAATATCATGTTATAATAATAATGAATATAGTAGTATCAATGACAAATTGATAGGAGAGGTGACAATAGTACAATAAAATGTTCAAGGTAACTAAAAGAAAATAATAAAAGTGATTATCAATAGTGATAATTATGATAGTATCAATAACAATGATACTAAAAATGGTGATAAATGACATAGTAGTAATGACAACAATAATCATCTATGGTAGTAGTAGTTAGTAGTAACTATAATTATAAAATAGTAATTAGTAATAACAATATTAGTTATGATAATAGTGACAAGAGATCATGACAATGATATAGTGATGTAATGATATTAACACTTTAAGAATTTAAAAAAGACATGGAAATTAAAAAAAATTATACAAATTAAAAATCAAAATTTAAAATAACTTTTAAAAAATGAGTTAAATTAATTTTAATATTGAGGTAAAAACTAATTCAATCCTATTTTGACTAAATATATTTTATTTTAAAATTTATTTTTAAAAAGTAAAATGTAAAAACTTGCAACCACCTCAAATAATATTTGTTACCAAATTCTTAAACCAAACAATATTTATTTAAAATATGTAAAGTCATCAAAATAGGTCACTCACCTCTAACTTACCTTTATAGGAAGCTAAAAAATTATCAATTCAACTCAACTTAGAATCTAGATATTGATTTGCTAAATAAAACAATAGAAATAAATAATTAACAACTTTTAAAAATTCAACAACAATATTGAGAAAACATATCATGAAAATTCATCTTCATTGCTGAATAAAAGTACTAAAGCAATATGTGTTAAATAAAAAAAATCAAACTTTAAGTTGACTAAAACAAATAATAAATTAATATATTTGTACCGGATTGTGACCCGTTTTAATACAAACAAAAATATGCTACAAATAAAAAATACCTTTTTTAAAAAAAATTCATAAAACGTTTTTATTAATAATTAGTTAATTTAAAAATTGTTATAATAATATCAATGATATAAGAAACTTAATAAGTCTCATCCTTTGTGCAGAAACAACTTTCTAAATACGTTCATTAATTTTGAGATGAACTGCGTGTGTATATGTGTAGAAAAACAGATTAAATAACATAATATTTATAATTTTAAACTAAAAAAAAATTAAAATTTTACTCTTTCACTCGCAAGATTATTAAGATTACAGGTTAAGTGTTATTTTTCAGATCCATCTTTATATATTAAAAGCGAATCATTATTTCTAAAAGATGAGAGTCATTTTTTTAATTGTGTTATACGACTTTTTTATATCTTATTTTAAATTTAATTTAGTTTGAATATTTAATTTCTGTACATTATTTAAATATTAAATATTAATTTTTTCAATTTGCATAATTTACTAAATTTTAAAAAAAAATTAATAATGATAGCATTCTGGAAACATAGAATACGCCCCCGTCAAATCTTATCGTTAACAGAAAAAATAAAGAATCTAACGTCACAACCGGTGGCAGGGTTTCTAAGCAGTGAAGTTTATCGGAATCCAAGTCAGACAAGGCTGCGCACGTGCGAGATTCATTCATTGAACACAAACAATAATGATTAAATAAACGTAACATAAGCGGTGTCACCCAAATACTCATACTGCTTATGGTTCACGTAAACGTCTATAATCTCATCCTTCAGATTATATAATTAATGTCTCACTATTTCAACAGTCAAACTACCATCCTTTTTTCTCTTCCAATTTTTTCAAATCGCACCCACTTTCGTCGAAGCACCCCATTTGACCAACAACGCACCCTTATGCACATATAAAAAGGCTTGGGCAACTTGAACATTTTATATTATATGTATGCACATTTTGTTGCAAACCATAGAGACACATAAATACACCACTGTTTCATTTTAATTGTTTTTGTCGCTGCAACATCACCCAACGAGAGTCATGAAGAACAAAAGGGCAAGCAAAAGGGACAAAAAGGAGATCAAAGTTACATATATTTCAAGCCCAGTTAAGGTGAAGACTAATGCTTCAAATTTTAGAGCTCTTGTGCAAGAGCTCACCGGCCAATACTCCAATGTTGCTGAAATGTCCATGTCTGTGGAAGAAGAAAATGCTCATTCTGATCAAAGTGTTCACAAGAATAGTGAGATTCAACAATGGAGGGTGGATGTTGCACAGGGCTATTTGCCTGAACCCACTAATTTGTTGAAACCTCATGAGTACAGTGAGTTATTCTCTAGATCATTGATGGAGCCATACTTGAACCAACACCAGATTCAATATGATTTGTTGAGCTTTGACACCTCATAGATTTTGGTTATTCCATATGAATATATGTGAAGTTTTGTGTTTCATTTTGTTATGCTTTATCAATCTATTATTGAATTAATGATCATGTGAATATATCACAAAGGTGTCTTGTGTATATCTATGGGACTGCTCGTAGAAGTTGTAGTTATCTAGATTGTGCAAATATAGATGAACGGAAGAGAATAAATAAATTAACAATACATCCAACTGGATAAGCATGTTTAACATAACGATAAGACTTCGGAAAATGTATTTTGAATACAAATTCTCGATTATGAAAAACTTATTTTTATTTCTAATCTTTATATTTTTGTAAAATTTTATTTTTAGCTCTTGATTTTTAAATTTAACCCTTGTTACGTGCCAATTTTTTTATTGCATCACATTAGTATAAAAAAAATTAAATGTTAATTAAAAAATAAAGTATTAAAACTAAAAAAAAATATATAACAAACTAAAAGCTAAAAATATATTTAAACTAAAAATGTATGATTGGTTCATATTGTAATAAATTTATTTGTGGTACTTTTGTGCAAAGGTTGAAAGGAGTTTTCTGTGTGTGTCTATGAAAAAAGTTGATTTGCCTGGGGCCATAACATTCAAGGGGGCCTCAGGGTCCTTCAAACATAGACCAGTAGATAACATCCATTTGTAACTAGATTTAATATAGTGTTTTACATTTAGAATTTTCTTATCAAAAAGTTAAAGTTGCAGAAAACCTCCCACAAGGACATTTATGATATTTTGAAAATTCAGTAATATACATCTAGAAATAATGATGTCCCCTTAAATCTAGAAAAATTCACCTATAAAATATGAATTTTTATTCATTTAAATATCATAATTTTTATTTTTTACTCTAGAAAATGTTACAATCTTGGAGCACACACAAACACACACGTTTGAGGGACTTGCGACTGTAAGCATCAAAAGCACTATAATCATAGAATGTGTGCACTTAGTCAAATATATCAAACTATCAAAACGGTTACGTGCAGCCAACTTAGTGAACTTACATCAATGCTTCCTTGGTTCATTTACATAGTTAAGACAACGACGTACCTAAGAAAATTTGACAAAGTTCAAAGAACATCGAAGATTCTACAATGCACCATGTTGCTAAGATGAATCGATGCAACATTTGTGTTTCATCCTATTTACTTTTTTTATACCCCCATATGACCAAGTAAGAGAGTGACATGATCGTTTTCAGATCAATTTTGAGTAACAATGCTGCTAAAAGGATCAGACAAAAGATATACTATGTATGCATTTTTTAATAGGAACGTTGTTTTCTATTTAGTACAAAATTAAGATTGTTCGTGAAAAGTGCTGTCTGAATGGGTTATCAATCAGGATCGAGATAGATGCATGTGTAAAGTGAAATCAATTATTTGAAAAGAGAGAAATTTGAAAGAAAGAGTTTTGTTATTTTACAAAATCTTTTCTTGCCGTTTAATTTTTAATGACAAGTAAAAAAGAAAAAAAAATATTATTGTGTGCCCATTGACATATAATATAAAAGTTGTAAGTACATTCTACTAAATATTTTAAAAATAAACATTTGAAAAAACTTTTACAATTTTGATATTTTATGATAAAACTTTTTTTTTCTTTTAACTTATCATTACATGTCTACGAGCAAATAAAAAAAAATGCAAAAAGACAGTGATCAACTGGAAATATTTACTCCATGATGAATAATAAGGTAGAATCTCAACCAACATCTAAGGATTCATTAAAGAGCAAGGTGGAGATGTTAAGGTTTCTGGGTGATGACAATGTAATAAGGGTGGAAATGAATGATGTTTATTGCTACTTCTAAACATTTATTGTCATTTTTTAAAAGTAATTTTTATTATATATATATATATATATATATATATATAATAAATTGACCCCTTGTTATATAATTACTCAAAAAAATAAGGAGTTAAGTTAATGTGTTATATAATTATTGTAAGTTTTTTCTCCAGGTTAAACATACTTTTAGTTTTTATAAACATGAAGAAATTTAATTTTAAAATTTTAGTTCCTATAAATATTTAAAAAATTTAATCTTTTTAAAATAGTTAGTCACTGTTAACACTTTGCGATGACATAACATACAACTAACCATATCATTTATACAATATTTTTAAGATAGAAAATAAATGACGTGTATAAGATGTATGCCATCTCATAAATAGAAGGTAACAAAGATTATTTTAATAAAGTTTTAAATTTTATGAGAATCAAAATCAATGAAAAAACAGTTTAGAATTAAAACTAAATCTATCTATATTTACATATTTTAAAACCATTCTTTAGTCCCATTAATGTCTATCAACATTTGTAATATTTTAACTTGAATAGCAAGATAACACTAAAAATAAGTATAAGTCACGACTCTTATACATAAAATAGTAAATTAACGAATTTATGATTGACAGAGATGATCATAAGAAATGTAGAATAGATCATTTTGATATTCAAACTTAAAGAAAGATATTTACATCACACTAAAAAAATATCAGTAATAAATTATGAATTGATAACTATAATATACCTTGATAAAATTATATTCGATTCTTTGGTTTAAGAATAAAAAAAATTCACAATAATAAATATTTTTAAAATCCCATTCATTTATTGATTTTTAATATAATAATTTTACAAATTGAGTTTAATTTTAGTGTATTATTAGTGTAAACATTTTTATACTTTTAACCGATTATAATAAATTTTTAAAATTAATTATCATAAAAATCAATGAGTTTTATTTATATTAAATTCTTGATTGAGTTTTATTTATTTTTAAATACTAATAAAATTTTTATTTTATTAATTTTTATGTAAATTTTGGGCTGATTTATTTTTTTAATGATTTTTAAAAAATAATTTCTTTAAAAAATATTTTTTAAACACATATTCCTTATATGTAGTCTTTTTTGTCACAACATTAACTGTTTCGTCTATTGTTCTGATGAAACTTTTTTTAAATCATATTTCAATTTTAGTAAAGACGAAACTATCATTTAAATCATATTTTGTTTTTAACAAAGACAAAATTATCAGATGACGCATATTATTATTTGATGAATTTTGTCTCTAATAGAGAAAAAAAAACTCATAAAATTGTGTTATATGTTATCATCTGACGAGTTTCATTTTCTACAAAAACAAAACTCACAAAACTACGTTATTTATTATATTTGAATTAATTTATAAATTTGATTTAAAAATATATTTTTTAATAATTAAAATATATTAAAAAATAAAAAAATCATAATATTCAATTTAAAAATAAAAAATTTACATAATTTTTAATTAACTTAATTAATAACTAAAAATATATTAAAAATACGGTGTAAAGATTTTGTTAATTTTAGTTTAAATATCTATAAATAAGAAAATTTATAAAAAATATATATTTATTATATAAAATTATTAAAATTTTGTAATACTCGATCGGAACAACTCTCAAAATGAAAAAACTTTAAGAGGATTTTGAGAGGTTTTAAAAAACCTAAAACAACTTTTTTTTAGGTTTTTAGAGAAACCTTTTTGTTTTTAATAAATTCATTCTATTTTGCTGAATTTTGTTGTGAATGTTGGTTTTGCATTGCACTAAGATTGAGAAGTTTCTTAGCCCTATGAAAATGTGTTCGGGATGGTACTACTAGATGCAACATCGTGACATTAATTGCTGTTCGGGGTTCTTTTATTTTGGATAAGAAATAGATATTGCATATACTTATGAAATTGCTTGAATAAAACCATATGAACCAGTGGTGCACAAAATGCACATATGCCCCTGTAATTAGAGATAAGTACCTCTCTTGTCCTTGAGTCTCCAATTGCTTGAGAAGGTGGGTTTCAATTCAAGATTCCAGGGGCCATGCCTAGGGATAATTTCAGTAAACTGCATAGTAACTGCACTCCATCTGAGCACAGTTGCCCTAGTTTTAACATGTAAAAGCCTTTAGTTTCAGTTGAGTGGGCTGTACTGTGATTATTTTTGTTTCATTTTGAATTTTATTGTGTTCTGCTTCACTATGATAGGTTCAATTAATGTAAGTATTTTACATTTTGATGGACTGATTGTACCATATTATGGGTAGCTGAGAATGTCTTCCCTTGGATGGTTGAACTTTGAAGTGAGGCTTTACACTTCAAGTTTTCCATTCTAGTTCTAGGTTAAACCTTACCATTTTGACAATTTTGTGGTATCTTGAGAAAGCTTGTCGTGGTATAGTATGTAATATGTGCTTGATTACTATTACTATGTGTATCTTTTGATCCTCTACTTCACATAAAGAGTATAATGTTTTTGTGTTGAGGAGGGTGAAGATCACAATATGATAGGGTTGGAGTCATTGGAAAGCAATCAAAACTAGTGAACGTTTGCAGCTTTTTGTTGTAAATGCTTTTATGCTAGTTGAAAGATTGTCACCATAGTTCTCTGTGCTATAGTTTGTTTATCAAAATTTGGTGTGGTGTCTTGTTTACTGGTTACTTAGACATGTTTTCTGGTGGTCAAGGGGAGCAGGGGCACATTGGCTTTGAGCTAATTATTGACCCATCCAAATTTTCCAGGGTGAGAGTAGATGATTTGTTCTCTCTTTTGATGTGTAGACCAAGGCTAAAGAGAAACATTGTCGGGATCCTCTTAAGGTCAAACGATTGTCAATAGGAAGATTGTAGGTATATCTGTCAATTTAAGGAATTCAGAAGTAATTTTGGCTCCAGTTTTGATTGAGAATCTGTTTTGTTAACTTGTTATGATATACAAGTGTCTTATTTTATTTGCTCTAAGTTGCTTGGCAGTGTTAAAGAACAGAATTTGGGTGATTGCAAATAATGGATTTCTTCTTCGATTTTCTTTATTGTGTTAAAATTGATATAATGACTTGGATATTCTTAAATAAGTTATATCATCATGATTTTGGAAAATACGTTCACCATGCTTTAAAATTATTTTACAAAGTATATTGTATGCCAAGGATCTTCTAGCTCACTTTTGTTTCTCATTCCATTTACCATAAAACTGCTTTCAAGTAGTAACTTTTAAGGGAAATGTGATTTTTATCTCTAATGGAACATATGGACTAGCTTGTTTTGGCTTAATTCTGACATTATGGTTCTCAGCTATACAGAGGGGAGCACAATTGATTCATTTCATGTTTCTGACTTTGGAGCATTTGATCAGTCATATCGTGTAGAGGATGCTGTTGACCTGAGTGGAAGTAAGTATCCATAATCCAACATAACAAAGTTTACATGTTTCTAGCAAATACTGTCAATATGTTGTATTATCTCATGTCATGATGCATATTTAATTATCATTTATTAAAAAGAACTGAAATTATGCAATCATCACTCTGTGCAATTGGTCGGCTCATAACTACTTATTCAATACTTGGCAAAGATAACATTTACTAAAAGGAATAATCTCACTCCAAGACACACTGCACAAATGTTACTGTTGGAAAAACATATATATCAATGTTTATGACCTTGTTATTTGTTTTTTTATTCTTGTTAACAAGCATAGACTTTTTTCTAGCCTTTTCCTTTGCTAACATATTTTTTCTCTGATAATTGATTTAGACTCAGTTTATAACTCACTAAAAGTAAGTAGCCAAACAATTTCTCCGGGCTCTGCTCACATAAGTAGCCTTGGTAAGGTGAGTTTTTCTAGTTCTTTTCATCCAATGAACTTTGTTGTTTGGCGAAGTTTTAGCTGGTTACAATACATTTTAGTTCCAACTTTACTTTATTTTCTCTTTAATTAGTTGCCAACTTCACTTGATAAAAGCCCATTGACAAACCAAACGGAGCCGCATAGGCTGCAATTACAAAGGATTCAACCATCAAATTCTGGCACCACATTAGATTGTAATACAGATAACAGGGAGGACTCTGCCATGGCTGATGCCAGTCCTAGGACTGATATTTCTACAGATGTTGACACTGATGACAAGAATCAGCGGGTGATGTTTCTTTACCTTATGTGCTGGTTTCTCCCTTGTTCAATTGATGCTATCTCTAGTCCCTAACCTACATTTGCACATTTGGCAACCAGTTAAGGTTGAACACGACAACAAAAGTCCAAATGCATGATTCAATTTAATTTAGTGTTCAAATAGAATGTTTGAGCTGAAGTATTTTGGGTCTGTTCCTTAGATCAGAACAGAAACTTTGTTAGTATATATTCATGACAATCTAACAGTTGATGCACTCTATATCTGCAGTTTGAGAGAAGTCAAGTCCTTGTTGTTGTGGCTTCTGACTCCAGTGACAGATCAAAAGATAAAACAGACCAGAAGGTTTAATTTATTGTAAATTTTATTGCATGGGTATTATCTAAAATTCCAAATGGTATTTGTTACATGATGATAATTTTTTTAATATTATTGTAGACTCTCCGCAGGCTTGCTCAGAATCGTGAGGCAGCAAGGAAAAGCCGTTTGAGAAAGAAAGTAGGATTCATATTTACTTATTTTTTTCAGTTAACATTTATTCAAATAACTGTGTTTTTTCTTGTTTCCCCATATTAATGCTATCATGCCATCATAATTCAGATACATGATTGATTTTTAGTTGGCAAAAGGAAGATATGTAGGGAATGGATAATTCTAGTTCTCCTTGTGCTGGAAATTCTCATACATATTTGGATGATCAATTTGGATATAAAGATTAGGTTGGCCTGCTTGACGATGCAGTGGACCTTGATTCAGCTCTAGTATATGATTTTTTTATTTTTTTTATTTTTTGTATAGAGTGGGAGGATAAGGCAATTCTAGATACAACAAAGAACATGAAAATACTCAAGATTGCGGCAAGGATGCCCAGAACTGGTGTAAAAATATTAACTAGTCCTGTCTGTATGTTTTAGGAGCTAGTAACTAGTAACTAGTGTGTGCCAAATGCAAATTTCCTGTGTTATTTGTTTGCTTTTCTCTCTGGAATCTAAAGTAAGGTCCATTGTTCTCAATTTTAGGCTCAATAATATGCTAGTTTGAAGATTTATATATAATATAATCTTATGCCTCAGTTAAATGATCATCAGGACTAATTCATAATTTGACATATACAGAATGAAAATTTCATTCTCGTCTTCTATCTTCTACCGAAATAAAACTCACAAAACTACGTTATGTATCATGTTTGGGTTAATTTATAAATTTGGTTTAAAAATATATATTTTAATAATAAATGTATTAAAAAATAACAAAAAAATCATAATATTCAATTTAAGAATAAAAAAATTTACATAATTTTTAATTAACTTAATTAATAACTAAAAATATATTAAAAATATGGTATAAAGATTTTGTTAACTTTAGTTTAAATATCTATAAATAAGAAAATTTATAAAAATATATATATATTTATTATATAAAATTATTAAAATTTTGTTATACTCAATCAGAACAAATGAAAAAAACTTTGAGGATTTTGAGAGATTTTAAAAAAACTCTTAACCCTTCCTCTCCTAATTAGTTAACTTTTAAATAGAGTTAAATTCCATTAACCTCTCTTTTCTCCTTTTAGTTAACTTCCAAATGGAGTTAAATCCTACTAACCTCTCTTCTTCTTCCCACGCCTCCTAAACGAAACATCCAAATACACCCTTAAGCAAGTAAAAAAAATTAATCTCAAACTAATTCATGAATGAAAGTCTTGCAAGCTTTATAAAATCAATCAAACTGCTCTAACCCGCGAAACTAATTCGAAAAAATAAAACATTGAATAAAATATTAATCAAAAGCTGAAAAAAACCATGTTTTCATTTGTGATTTAGTTCGGTTTTTATTCTCATCTTCGGACCCGAATCAAACTGCAAACAATTTTTTTTTTATTCTATCCTTATATAAATACTAATTTAAAAACTATTTTATTTAATACATTTGTACTTTTTTAAAGAAAAACTTGAGATTATTTCGAATTGTAATTTAAGATGAGATTCAATATTTTTAATTATTTTTTTCATAATTACCATATATTTAATTTTTATTTAATAAACATTGTCTCTTAAGTAAAAAATTACTTACTAAAATAATTTATGCAATTGAAAAAGTATTCATACTCTAATTAATGAAATTTAATTTAATTACTAATAAAAAATTTAAAGTTGTGTCCCTTGAAATTATAAAATAAATAAATGAATGAAAAACCCAATCTAATCCAAACCACAAAATATCAGTTCACATTGGTTTGATTTTGATATTATTCTCAAATCGATCTAAACCGAACCACAAGTTTTATTTATAATCGATTCAGATAATTTTCAGCCTTAAAACCAAACTAGCAGACTTAAGTTGTTAAATAAGCTGAATGCAAGTCCAGTTTGAAGTGGAAAATGCAAACATTTAAAAAACTTTTTACTTTCACAACTACAAAATTTGACCCAATAAAATCCACAAATTGGCAAAACCAAACCAATTCCATGACTAGAAACAGAATTTCCAACACAGGAGTGATAATTTCCAAAATTATTATAAGCATCTCACAAGTATCAGACACAGCTGAATGTTATATAAAACCTACCTTCTGCGTTTCATGGGTCCAGTCTTGTACCCACTCTTGGTTGGTTTTCCCCAAGGAGTTCGAGATCCTCGCCCCCATCGCCCACTACTCTTGCTTTTACCCTCTCCTCCACCATGGGGATGATCAACAGGATTCATGGCCACTCCTCGAACAACTGGTCTTCGACCAAGCCATCGGCTTTGGCCAGCCTTCCTAAGCTTGCGATCATCGTGGCTTGGATTAGACACGGTACCAACAGTTGCCCTACATCGAGAATCAATCAATTTTTTAACACCTGACGGGAGTTGGACTAGACAGTACGTTGATGTGGGCTCTTTCAAGATCTTTGCACTTGTTCCAGCAGCTCGAACAAGCTTGCCACCTTGTCCTGGGTTCAACTCAATGTTGTGAATGATTGTTCCAATTCGCATTGCAGACAGTGGCATGCAACTACCAATTTGTGAGTTTATGTCAGAATACATCATTTGATTCATCATACTCTCACGTGTACTGTTAGGAATGGTGTTTGTAACATCTGTGAAAAGGCAAAAAAATATATGTAACCAAACAATAGAGGAAGAAGCCACAAGAGCAATATAGAAACCATAATTGCCATCTAAATCTAGCTGGCCTTAGATAGAGAAAGTAAAATACAACATCTGATAGGTACTAAATTAAAGATAAGTGTGAGACTACTATTGTTATGAGAGAAAACCAAAATGAGCCTGAGCTCTTACAACTTACAATGGATACCTAGCCTAAGCTCCTCAGAACATGGTATTTTCTGTGTCTAAACAGCTAATGTAAAAGGCTAACAAACTTGCACCTTTCCTCCTCCCCCTATTAACACACTACATAGCATAACAAGCTGTCCAGTTCAGCAGCATAACTAAATATCCTCCCCTGCACATCCCTTTTTCTTACGTGTATACACCTTCCATATCATGGGCTTCCCATGGTTTGAGCCCACTGGCTGATCCATGCCTTGTACCAAGTCATTGTCCACATGAGATACAATGCTTGAGCTCTATCACTTTCTGATGACATATTCTATATTTTTTTTCATGTTTAAAGCACAAGCAAAATATTTTGTAATTTTGTTTGGTTCCTGTTCTAACAAGTGTTTATAAAAGATAAATGAAGTGGTAACTGGTAAGCCTCCGTAAAACAAAATTAAAAGGAATATAGATTTATTAGTGCAAAAAAAGGGTGTAAAGCAATCAAATGAGTGAAGCTGTGCCTGTACGAATAAGCTAGAACCATTAACAACGAAAACAAACCCCAAAGCTACTGAGGTTATTTCCTTTATTTCTCCATCTTTCTCTATCTGCCACAAATTACTATAACACAATTTAACAGCCGTAACTGGTGAGAGAGAGAGGAGAAATGAATGTACCGGAAGAGAAACGACGCATAGCATTGGTGAGTAGGTGGAACGCCGAAGAAGCAGTGCGACTTCTCCACAGTGACACAGCCATTCCAAAACTGCAACACCAAACAGGAAAATGTCAAACGTAAGAGAAATAGATAATTTAAAATTTAATTAAAAAAGGGATGAGAATCAATGCAACAAGATAGAGCAAAAAGTAAATAAATACATGTGGCCATCACAGTCCCAACCCATCCAACGGCAAAGTGACTCACCTTTAAACCCGCCAACAGCAGAAGTTCCGTCACGGTCACTGCAACAAGAAAAAGAGAATAGAGGGTGGGGTGAAAACAAACGGTTTAGGCTTTGTTAAGCATGCTGTATAGGCCATATAGGACTTTTTCTGTGGCATGGCCCGCCTGACCTAAAAGCTTGTTTAATAGTTTTTGCAATAGGACCTTTAAAAAGTAAATATTTATTTTATTCATTCAAACTGAAAGTGACAATTATTTTATTTTCTAATATTATAAAAAGTTTACTTTAGTTCTTAATTTTTTAAAAAATTACTCATTTTATTCATATTTTATAGTTTTTTGTATCCAAAAGACTAAAATTAATGTCATTTTTGTAAATTCAGGGACTAAAGTGATTAATTCTTATAATTTAAGAAACTAAAATAAGCATTTACTCCCCTTTAAATAAACTTGTTTCTAGGTAGATTGACCACTTTTAAGAGGCCTATTTTTTTATAAGGCTAATAGGCCTATTCCTCGCCCACCGAGCCTTTAATAGACTAACTGGCCTGCAATTTTAAATAGACCAACAATATAGCATACAATTCATATACAAACAATATAAGTTGACCAACATATATATACATACATATATATATATATATATATATATATATATATATATATATATATATATCTTTTAAGCTTGTTTGGAATCAGAACATGCATAAAAGATAGTGTTCTACAAATCAATAATTAGAACTGTAGTATCCATCAGAGTATTCAAATTTGACAGCGCAAGATAAAAATTACTTGAAATCTACAATCATCAAGTTCAAAGGAAGCGCAGGATAAGTATAGTTTAACTTCGATTTGAGCTTCCTACCCAATGTCAGTAGTCAGGTTTCTACTTTATATGATTGGAACATGTAGGGGTACAATATTAAATTGGATATTATGACAAATAAAAAAAGATGGTGCATTAACACTAATAATTCCAAATATAGCAACATTTTATCTCATCAGATGAGAGCATCATGGTTTACGAATTAGAAATTAATTACAAAGCAAATTATATTTTTCCATATTCTGAAAATTTCCCTGACTGTATCACTCCAAAATCTTGCTATCATGACTTACTGCTGTAATTGCCAAAAGCCAATAACATTATTAACCAATAATTGAAGCAAAAGAAATTTCCAATAACTTATTATGTACCTTAGCAACCCCTGCTTCTTCAATGGAAATGATCCTATCTTGATCAGCTAGCTGTCTGTGACCTACAGTAGAGATAACCACTGTAGAAATAAGCTTGCATAAACAAAGTACTATAACAGTGTCTCAAATTAAAATTATATCCAACAAATTGAACAAAGTATACATTATTCATAATACATCCAAATATTCAAAAGGCCTAAAGTCACATACATCAGGTGTTCATGGATAGGTTTATACATAAGGTGTCCATTTAGACACCAATTATATGAATTGGATTTCAAAAATAATCCAGTTCTTCTTCCCAAAACTGGTTTGGTTTTGACCAAAATGGTTTCAAACCAATTTTAAAAGCAGTTTTGAACCAAAACTGGATTTTTGTCAAAATTGATTTTTAGTCAAATCTAATTGTAAATTCATACTGTTCATCCAAATCTAGCTATAAATTAATTTTTCAAATCCTCTTTCTTTTACAAAATCTAGTTATAAAACCAGTTTTGAACCACTTCAAAACCAGTTTTTGTTTCAAAAGATAAATTTTCCCAGTCAAAGGCACAACAAAGATTGCCACAAAATTGAACATCAAATTAAATATTTGACAGCCCAAAATTCCTTTTGGATAAATGCAGAGGAGGCTCCAGAAACCCTATGGCTCAGTTCAAAAATACACACAGAAATGTATTTAACTAGAATTGCACACAAACAAAGTTTCTTTTAAGAAAATACAAAAGTAAATGCATTATTTAGCATCTACAAATATAAGATGTTTCAAAACAGGAAAGAGTGAAGAGAAATGAAAGCTAGAGATGCAAAGCTAACAAGTCATCAATTTTAAAGGGATTCATAGGAAGATGAATAGAAGTAACCACGACAACTCTTAGAAGGCATGAACACTTCACATAAAGAAGTGTAAATAAAAAATTGATGACCTAGGGTAATTATATTAAATGCCAAATCCACAAGCATATGTATACCTTAATAGAATCTTATGCTTAAATCATGATATCAAAAAGCAAACCACCTCATTAAAACAAACTGAATAAAGGCTAGACAAGCAAGCCAAACAAGGCACTTTTTTTCACTTCATGCTTAAGAAACTATTTTTTTTTCACTTCATCATCTAAGTCTATTTCATTGCCACTGGTGTATGTAACATCAATTCCATTCATTTTATTCCGATCACAAATCTAAAGCATTAGTTGCAACTACATAGGCAGTTTGCACCACAAAAATTTACCAATCAACTAAAACTGTTAATACATAACTACGAGAACAAAGAGTGAACAAAAAATATTTCATTATATTACATCCAAAATGACCGGAAGGGCATATAATAACTCATAATTTAAATGCAAAAAAAAAAAGCCTGACAAGAGAATGAGACTAACTATAGGACAGGAGACTTAGTGTTAGAGAGTTCAGACTTCAGAAGCACCAGATTTTGTAAAGTTTTTTTTTACTTGTAACAAGAAATAAATAAATTAATGTACTGGTCATTGATAAACTGTATAAAATAATATTTAATATTGCATCTTCCAAGAAGCTTATTTAAATTACATTTTTTCCTCTATTTAAGAATCAATTTCTTAGAAGTCCTAGCAGTGACGTACAATACTCAATTCAGTTTATCTGTAGACAAAACAGCTTTGTGTGTTTGAATATTGACTAAATTCAAGGTGCACTTGATTTGTTTTGGGGAAAAGAGAAAGATTCTGATCAAAGGTAAATCCTCTATCTCTTACACAGTGGAATGAGTTCAAGATAATTAAATGATTAGAAGAATTAGGGTTCAAATTGAAGGAAGGAGATTGGAGATTAGAGATTTGGGTTCAAAGTGTTCCATTCTGTTGCTTTGGGTCCAAAGCAGAAGAAGATACAGTGAAGCACAATGTGTGAAAATGAAATTTAGCATAATTTCCAGAAAATAAAGCCAAAAATCTCAACAGTGCTATTTATCACAAACCAGTATATGAAAATACCACCATTTCTATAACTCACTTTCACATGTAATCAACAGTTAAATATAAGAAAAATATTGGCTTCCAAAATAGGTCTTATCAGATTACCAAATTATAGGCAAGTATAGTATCAAAAACCATATAAATAAATGTATTTGCACAGCCAGTGATATTTACTTCCACAAACAGAACTCATTGCACATGGATAAAGACAGTAAAGTTAAATAACAAGATAAATTTCATTTTGTTTTTCCAATCAACCTGAATCAGTTCAAATGCAGAAAAATTCTACAGGAAAGACAGATTCTAACCACAGTCATATTGACTGAATAGAGTCTCTCACTCTCTAAAGTCTAAACCTGTTTACACAGAATTCACAGACTGGTTTAAGCATTTCAAGAAATTGCACTCACATAAAAATAAAAAAAAACATATCAAGGTAATGATTTGGTGAATTTGTCACAACCCAAAAATTTAGCCACCAAAGGAAGTTGTATCGTCTCCAGCATCAAACATATGAACTGAAATCATTGCATTACTTTTACGTGTAACTGTAGATCATTGATATGAAGATGGACAATCAATAACAAGAGTTATGTGGTGGATGAAGTATGTGTCTAAACGATAACGGTGGAGTAGATAGGATCAAAGTCAAGAAACTCTCTCAGAGAGTATGTTTGGCCAATGGGGAAAGGATGGAAACTTGGGAAGGAGCTGAAAGAAAATGAAGCAAGGATAATGAGCTTATACTTAGCAAACAAATCAAACTAAAATGAATAACTAAGACAAAGGGAAAAAATAAAATTAGCAAAATAAATAAAAAAAACATGTATGTTTATTGTTAGCTCATAAAATACATAATAATAGCACACTCCTATTATTTTCTACTTGACAAACCAAATTCAGATTTTTCTCAATTTTGAAGGTAACATGTCAAACAGCCTCAAGAAGGAAGTAATTAAACCTTCCCAATCAGAAACAAACAAACAAAATATCCTAGAACAGGGCACCTTCCATTTACAAGTGAGGATAAGCATTACATAGATCAATTCAGGCTAGAAGCTGAAAAAGTCCCAAATTGGAGAACAAAACAGCACAGTTGAACAAAGACTTGTGATCCAAATCCTTGTGTCAACTATCATTTAAGATATTAAGCAGGAGATGTGTAACCAGTGTCACGTAAGCTCAACACTCACACACACATTCTCTCTCTGTGTGTGGTTCAGAACATACATCAAACAGTTTGGAATCAAAATAAAAATATAACCAAGTTACATTATAAAAGGTGATTCCAAATAAAATAAAGAATAAACCATCAAACATAACCCTAAAAGAACAACAAATACAAGCCGTATTAGATCATGTCAGTCACCAATGTGTCTAGTAGCATGCTAGGACTAATACAACTAACATTTATAGTTATCAATGAAGCACAGATACTTCAAAATTGGCAATGTACCCATGTCATACTTGTACATAACACTCAGTACATGTATCGTAAAACTGTGCCGTACTAAAGCTTGATTGCATTACCTTCAAATGTTTGACTGATTGCAGCATAGGATGTGACAAATTCAAATGTTCATCGTACACTTTCAGTATCCACAAATTTAACAGATTTGAAACTATACAGACATTCTGGTATGCAGATTGCAATCGAAGAGAGCACTTATTAGGGAAAAAACAAATAACAAACACTAAAACCCAACAAAATCGAAGCACCTGAATAGAATACACCTAGACAGAACTCAAAATCCCGAATAGCTTCTGCCCTTTCAGCCTTGTTCTTTTGTTTATTTTTCTGGTCTAAGGTTTATTCTTACTGTTTACAGGGCTTATTAAAAGAATCGAAATAAGCTAGTCCACTTCACTCAATCCTAATATCTATGGGCCAGGCCCAAAAGCCCACATAACAGCTGAACCTTGATACATAATCAAGACAAATAAAAGATGTTGGGTGTGAGACATAACATCACTTGTTGCCGGGTTAGTTTTTGTACTTTTTTATATACCTCCTTATTATATTTGGTAAAGTATTTGTTGAGGTAGTTTATAACTTATTTATAATATTGTAGCTTGTTCATTTCACATTCAATAAATTTGTAAAATTATTTGATAAATAAATAATGAGATATAGAATTTGTAATTATTAAAATTTATTTTTTAAAATTAATTAAATTAGTATTTAACTTTAAAAACTAGTTACCAACATTTTTATTATATTATTTTTACTTTTTAAAGATAATTTACTAATATTTTTGTTTTTTTAACTCTTACGATGGTGTTATTCTTTTTTTCTATTTATTTATTTTTTGTCTCTTCTGTCTATATATATTTTATATTAAAAAATAGCTTAAAATATTTTATGTGAAAAATATATATATGAAGAGAAAATTTATTTTTCTATATAATATTTAATTAATTGATAATAAATATATAAAATAAGTGATATTTAATTTTAATATTATAATATTACATATTATTTTAAGTCATTTAACATAATCAATTACTTGCATAACTAATTTGTTAAATAGTTTTATTTTCATAAGTTCCTAGTTATAATATTTTAAATGTAAATTAACTTTACATCTATAATTTGATAACAACTTTCACCTTATTTTATAAATTAAAGTTGTTATAATATATATATATATATATATATATATATATATAATAGTATAAATCAGAGTCTATTGGTTAGAAAGTGAAGTGTAAGTGTGAATTCTATTATTTCTTGCAGAGATTCTTTTATATTTTATTATCTATTTTAAATTTTAGAGATTATAATTATTAGTAGTGAAGGTTTTCAGATGCCACATGAATAATACTACTTTTAAAACGGTTGTTCTGATTCTGATATTCAGCAGAAAACTTACTGGATAGTTTGATAAGATCTTTTGCTTGTATTCCTTATGCTTTCGAATCTGTTCAAACCAATATAGAATAACAAAAACTCAGCAAATTGACCAACAAAATCAAGCAGAAGGCAAAATACCAGGAAAAAAAGAAGAAAGAAGAAAGAAACACCATCTCCTCAGACAATAAATATTGGACTCGTTAATCATCAACTTTTTTGGCTAACAAGTGATTTTTGAAATATCGGTAACTAAATAACATATGATATGAAATGTACTTACAAACACTAGCAAAAGAAGAGATCATCGAGATTTTTGGCACAAAAGAACCTGACTAAGATGGATTAAATCGTCTAAAATTTGTAAGTATCAATTTCCATTTTGCTCTTTTAAATTAATTTTAAAATGGTCATCAAACGTTGATAATATTATTCTAGGATAAAAATGCCCTTTACTATAATTAAAACAGGGATATTTCTTCCTAAATTCAGTGTCACAACTTGAATCCAACATTCATGATAAGATAAAGCCCTAACTAATGTGCAGATGTAAAAAAAAGAGTTGGTCATATGGATAACTCGACCATTTATTATCCTAGAGTATGACTATAGATTATTGAGAGCGAATTACTTTAACAATTACACTTCTGTTTCACACTTTTGTACAAAACTTTTATGTATTTATAAAGCACACTTTATATATATATATATATATATATATATATATATATATATATTCAAACCTAAAACTCTTATTTTGTATAAAATTGGAAAAATGACATTTTAAATTTTACATCATCACACAAAACTTCTTTTATTTTTTAAGCATTACACACACTCTTATCTATTTTAAAATACATTATGGTTACAGCCTGGCCTCTTATGACATTAAGAATATCAATTTATTAAATTCATAAAGAATACAATTTTAAAGATAACACTACCATAATTAATCTAAGAGAATAGACATTTAAATAAATTTTAACTATGTATCATTGTAATAAAAAATTAATAAAAAGTCAATCACATGAATTATTAATAATTAAATCAATAAATTGTTCTTTTATTATTTAAAATATATATTTAAATTATTAATATCAATTATGATATTATTTATTAAATTTATATAAGACCAATTAAGAAATTGATTATTAAGAATCATCTAAAAATTTTGCTAGTGTACACAAAAAAAAAGGGGGTGATTAGTGACCTTGCCAAGTTGTGTTAATCCATCTCTAAATTTAGGAATGACTAGAACATGAACTGGAGCCTGTGGATTAATATCTCGAAATGCTAGAATCTTTTCATCTTCGTATACAATGCTTGATGGGATTTCCTTTTTTATGATCTTAAGCCAACGGAGGGGAAAAATATCGCCATTAAAAACCGATCTATAAATAACCTTTTCATCTTCTCTACACATGATCGAACCACTTAAGCCGCTTTTCAGTCATTTAAGTCCTACTTCGATATTTTCCGATATACTACTATCATTTCATATCCTGTCTTTTCTCTTATATCTACTCGTCCACCTTAACATTCTCATTTTTGTCACTCTCACTTTCTTCTCGAATTGTTCCTTTAAGACCCAATATTCACTATAGCTAGTTGTATTGTCTTACGGTAAAACTTTACTCTCAGTTTGATAGGGACCTTACAATCACAAATAATTCTTGAGTAATTATAGGGGTGGGGATTATTGGGAAAAACAAAACGCCCTTGGAATGATGCTTGTACATTCATCAAAAAAATTAATCAACCACGATACAAATATTTAAACCAAACTGACTACTAAATCTTATAACTATAAACTATCTTACTTTCAGAATTTTCTTCCCGACTGGCTCAAAACAACTTCTATAGGAATTGAAGATATCCTCCAGTATGAAGCAATACTTTGTATTTGGGAAAGAAATTAAACATGACAACACATAGACAACTTGTGAACTAAACACAGACCAGAGGAGTAATGCCCCAAGTTAACTCGCAGTAAAATGTGAAACCAGCCCTGAGGCATGAGGTCCACAAGAGAGAGATAGACCAAAATTAATAACTGAAATAGATAGTGACATGATGTGTGACAAGAATGTGCACTAAACCAACTCTAAACCTGCTATGTGTCATTACATAGGACCTAGTTATAGGTCTAGATGTGGAAGAATTGTTCTTACAACCCATAGTAGTGAATTTGAATTTTAGGGAAACACACTTGTCCTTAACAGAGCCTCTTTTGAGATTACTAATTCTGAGAATTTTCACTTGTACTTTATTGAATACTGTTAGTCCCTTTCAAAGATTGTTAGTACAAAGGAAAGAAATCTAAATGATATGATCTTATAGCCAATAAAAGAAAACAGATCCTAAATGATGATAATGATATAATCTTATCTAAAAGGAACCAATCCTAAATCATGACAATAATATGATCTTATCAAATAAAAGGTAACAGATCCTAAATCATGATTTCAGCTAATAAAAGGAAACAGATCTGAAATCAATTAAAGAGAATTTATGAATAAACGAAACAAATAAAATTGTATTAGGCTATATCTACCAGCTGTTATGCTGCACCTACTGCTGCTGCCTTCTTTTTTTAATATTGCTGACCCACAAATACATCCACATCAAAATCTACGAATTACAAATCAAGCTTGAAGTACAACCATATTGACAATTTACTTCTCACAAGTATATCATTTTATTTGAGGTTTCTATGTTAGGATCCAATTGCAAGGAATGGAACTTGAGTCTCACAATGAAAATATGGGATTATAGGGTGGGGTTTATAGGGGTCTTGTGCTCTCCAAATACAACAGCTAGCATTTGTGGTATGATGGTCCTAACTCAACAAGTTTATGTTGATTATTAACGCCATTTATTTTCTATGTTCTCTTATTTTTCTCTATTTTCTTCTACGTTTTATTGATTATTAATAAAAAGGGTTTTTCTCTACCATCATCCTATTTATAGGGGTTTACATTGATTATTGTTCAATAATGATTAATGCCATAAAAATATTCTTTACCTTCTGATCTGTTTTATACTTTGATCTGTCACTGGAGTCAGAAGCCACAGCAGCCTAGCGTGCAACTGCAAAGTAGAATTTATTTTAGCCAAAAATTCCAGAATCGGCAAAAGAAAAGCCAAAAAATTCATATTAAGTCTAATTAGAGATAATGTAGCCAAATTGATAATAGAAAACCAAAACACATGAGCTTTAGATCAAAAGACAATAATTGCTGCATAGGATGTGACAAATTCACATGTTAAGCATACACTTTCAGTATTCACAAATTATTAGATTTGAAACTTTGTAGAAATTTTGGTATGCAGATTGCAATCGAAGAGAGCATTTATTTGGGTGAAAACAAATAACAGTCAGTAAGATCAAACAAAAAAGAAGAACCTGAATAGAACACCTACTCAGTTCCCTGCATAGCTTCCAACGCGCCTTGTTCTTGTTCTTAGGGTTTACGAGGGTTTAGTGAAGGGATTCGAAATGGGCTAGGCCCTTCTACTCGGCCGTAATCTATATTTGCCTGGGCCGAAAAGCTCCACGGCAGGTAGCTCTGAACTTTGGAATGAGGCAAATAAAGGGGAAAAACAAAAAGGTGACGTTGGTCTCCAGACTCCAGTAAAGTATTTTTTTGTCCGTGAAATAATTATAATTATTAATTTTATATTAAATATATAGATAGGCAATAAGGTTAGTGGTTTATTTTAAAAGAAAATAAATGCCATTTATATTAAGACTCATTTGATGTATGATATTAGAATTGATGTTGAAAATTATAATTCTAATTCTATCATAAATAAGTTTAAAATTATAATTATATATTTGGCATACTCAAATAATTAGAATATAAAATTAAAATTTTGAGTTAAAATTAAATTTCATAGTGTGATATAAGATCTATATTTTTTTTAAAAAATAATTTAATTTAGCATTAAAATTTTATTTAATAACTTTTCAAAAATAATGTGTTAATTAAAAATATAAAAATAATTATTAAATAAATTATTAAAAATGATATAATTAAATAATAACTGAATATATTTTTTTTCAAATATTATGACAGAGTAAAAAAATTATATATTTAATTTATCATTAAAATTTAACATTAAAGAGACCTCAGTGTCCTTCAAACATAGACCAGTAGATAACATCCATTTGTAATTAGATTTAATATAGTGTTTTACATTTAGAATTTTCTTATCAAAAAGTTAAAGTTGCAGAAAACCTCCCACAAGGACATTTATGATATTTTGAAAATTCAGTAATATACATCTAGAAACAGTGATGCCCCTTAAATCTAGAAAAAACACCTATAAAATATGAATTTTTATTCATTTAAATATCATAATTTTTATTTTTTACTGTAGAAAATGTTACAATCTTGGAGCACGCACAAACACACACGTTTGAGGAACTTGCGACTGTAAGCATCTAGGGATGGCAATGGGTAGGGTATGGGTAGGGTACTACAGTACCCATCCCCATACCCGCGTTTTAAAAAAATACTCGTACACGGCCCCATACCCGCATGGGTATAAACATTAATCCCCGTACCCGTACCCTCTGGGTACCCGCATACCCGTCTTGTACCCATTATCCGCGCTTGTTTGAGAAAAAAAATATTTATAAAGAAAAATATGTTTATATAACTTCACATAAGTAGCATAATAATACAAAAATTCAATATGTAGTTGCCGAACAAGGTACAAATATAGATAAAAAATAAATATTCAAATATCATAAATGTTAAATGTATTTTAATATAATAATTTTCTAAACTAAAATTCTTAAAAACAATAAGCAAAACTAAACATACAAGTTATTTGTCAGTGATAATCCTATCTTGTGTGAGATTTGATTGTTGGTAATGTCAGAACGACAACGAAATAGATTTGTACAATGGTTATCCCTTCGTGTGGGATCACTTAGTAACCTCTTGTGACGACATTAATAACTAACTTTAATGAATAACATTTCATAATTTTATTAAGTTTTAGCGAGACAGACATTGAGAATGAGAATAGAGTTAGAGTCGAGAAGTTCAATACTAACAACAGAAAGTTGATACATAAAATATTTTTTTTAACTTTTGAATTTGAAATTGTAAGAAAAATAATAGATTTAATTAAAATAATATATATATATATATATATTAATACTAGTATTTTTTAACTCATATACAATACGAAAGTATTTTATCAAAAATATAAATTTTTGAAAAATTATTTTAGTGAATTAAATATTTATAATGTATATAAATTTAAAAAAAAAGAATTTGAATAAAAGATAAATAGTTACAATAAAATTTTATAATAAAGAAATATACGTGTATATTAAAAAAATTATACTTTTTTATCTTAAAAAAATTAACAAATAAAAATTAATAATAATTTTTTATATTTATATCTTTTCAAAAACTTCTTTGAATGTGAATAAATAGTAAAAATAATATTATTTAGATTCAATAGATTATAGTTGTGCTTGTAATACATATATTACATAGAAAAATATTATTTTAAATTAAAATATAAAAATAAAATTTAAATATTATTAATAAATAATAAGTTTACGGTAATAGTAGGTGATTGTAAAATTTATAAAATATTTATAATATATTTATTATTTATCATTCAATTTATGATTTAAACATCAATATGATTTTATTAACAAAAATATTTGTGTAAAAAATATTTTATGTGTGTCATATATAAATAATATTTTAAAAAAAGTCAATCTTATATTAACTATGTAATAATTAAATTGTGTTAGCCTAATTAAATGATATAAAATAGTAAATAAATTTTTCTATTAAAAATATAAACCAAAATAAATTTTTTGCTTTACTTTATTATTAAATATATTTTTATATTAATCTTATATAACTTCACATAAGTAATATAATAATACAAAAATTTAATGCATAATTATAGAATAAAGTTCAAGCATATATATATATATATATATATGCGGGTATGGGGCGGGGTGAGTACTTAGATACCCATACCCGTACCCATCCCCATTAAAATTTGTGGATTTTTACCCACACCCATACATGTACTCGTATAGCGGGTAAATACCCTACTTATTGTGGGTAAATTTTGCGGGTGCCCATCGGGTACTTTACCCATTGTCATCCCTATAAGCATCAAAAGCACTAGAATCATAAAACAATTACGTGCAGCCAACTTTGTGAACTCACATTAATGCTTCCTTGGTTCTCCATTTACATAGTTAAGACAACGACGTACCTAAGAAAATTTGACAATGTTCAAAGAACATCGAAGATTCTACGTCGAAAATTTGATAAAATTTCAATGCCAAATTAAATTATTTTTAAAAAATTTAGATCTTATATTACACTATAAAATTTAAAAAAATTAAAATTTTAATTTTATATTCTAATTATTTAGGTATGTCAAATATATAATTATAGTGTGTGTGTAATGCTTAAAAAATAAAAAAAGTTTTGTGTGATGATGTAAAATTTAAAATGCCATTTTTTCAATTATATACAAAATAAGAGTTTTAGGTTTGAATATATATATATATATATATATATATATATATATATATAAAAGTTTTGTACAAAAGTGTGAAACAGAAGTGTAATTGTTAGAGTAATTTGCTCTCAATGGTCTATAGGCATACTCTAGGATAATAAATGGTCGAGTTATCGGTACGACCAACTCTTTTTCTTACATGTTGCAAATTAGTTAGTGCTTTATCTTATCATGAATGTTGGATTCAAGCTGTGACACTGAATTTAGGAAGAAATTTTCCTGTTTTAATTATAATAAAGGACATTTTTATTCTAGAATAATATTATCAACATTATGATGATCATTTTAAAAATAATTTAAAAGAGTAAAATGGAAATTGATACTTACAATTTTTAGACGATTTAATCCATGTAGTCATGTTCTTTTAGAAGATTTAATCCATGTAAGTACATTTCATATCATATGTTATTTAGTTATCGATATTTCAAAAATCACTTGTTAGCCAAAAAAGTTGATTATTAACAAGTCTAATATTTATTGTCTATGGAGATGGTGTTTCTTTCTTCTTTTTTTCCTACTATTTTGCCTTCGGCCTGATTTTGTTGTTCAATTTGCTGAGTTTTTGTTATTCTATGTTTGTTTCAAAAGATTCGAAAGCCTAAGAAATACAAGCAAAAGATTTTATCAAACTCTCCAATAAGTTTTTTGCTGAATGTCAGAATCAGAACAACCGTTTTAAAAGTAGTATTATTCGTGTGGCATTTGAAAACCTTTGCTACTAATAATTATAATCTCTAAAATTTAAAATAGATATTAAAATATAAAAGAATCTTTGCAAGAAATAATAGAATTCACACTTACACTTCACTTTCTAACCAATAGACTCTGAGGATCAAAACCAATGAAAAAAAAGTTTAGGATTAAAACTAAATCTATCTATATTTACAACAAATAAAACAAAATTTCTTACAACAAATATCTAATATAACAACATAATATTACATTTAGTTCATAATATTCAAAATACACAAAATTATAATACATAGCTCCCTCTACATGAGGTCTCAAAATATAAGGAAAAAGGACTTTGATGCAAAATTACTCGACTCCAGTTTCTAACATTTTTCCACTGGCCCCTCATCCTATGAAGTAGATGCAACACATGTTATATCTGTTCACCTACCATCGTACGATCATCGCAGTACACACGCATACAACGACATAGACAAAAATGCAACGGTGAGCGTACAAAAAAATAAAATGAAATCGTATATATAGAGAAAAATATTACTCACAGCAACAGTCTCATGCATTACCAACTCATCTAATGCACAACATGAAAAACGGTTTCTAAGTGATTTCACAGCCTAAGTAATCCAGAAAGAACTGAGCCGGTCTGGGAAACGACCTATTCCGGTATCTGGATGCAGACAGCACAGCTCAGCATGCTCTATCGTTACACGTCTACCCATCTAAATGTATAATTCGGCTCTATAATAATGCAAGACATATATTTCAGCATGATGCAGCACAGCTAAAATCATTTCAACAGCTCAGCTAAGACAAGTTTATAATAAATCAGTCAAATCTCAGTGTTATTAAATCAGTTATCAGCAGCTATAGCACAGAAAAAATAACTTTCAAGTATTAAATCATTTATATTTCAGCTTTTACTGAAGAGATCTAACAAAACTGACTCAAACCTTTCTTAAATAGCATATCAAACCGTTCAAAACATAGTTCATAGACTAAAGTAAGCTCTCCTTACCTTAAAATAGTGATTCACTCCAGATCTATCGAATATTACTTGTTTAATCGCAAGATTCACCGAAGATTTGGCTTTAGAACGTAGTTTCTCCTAAGAATACCATGAACTTCTATGAGAAAGAGAAGAAGAAGAGAAATGAATGGTGAATCTAACTTTAAACTTAAAAAAATTTACTTCAAATCCCTTTGAACGAACGCAGAATTACAGATCTAGAGAGAAATTTAAGTTTATGAGGGTTTAATATGAGAGAAAATAGTGATATATGGCCTTGGAACCTTTGAGAACCTTAGATAGGAGAG